TTGAGTGAGCGATTTTCTAGCTATCGAAAAACAGAGTTGTTGGTTGGATTCAATGATTTTTCTTTAATTGCAGAAATAAGAAAAAAAGGAAAGGTGAACTCACTGTTGATGAAATTGATTTTTCAGAAAAGGTTGTTATTCGCTTGATTCAATCGGAATCTTTTCAGGATATAGAAGACGCACGTTTACGAACTTAGTCCATTTTATGATGCGAGAATTCTAAGAATTAAAACTGGTGCGTTTCGAAGAGATGACACGTTAGAGTTTAGAACACCTATAATATTACCAGGAGAACATCCATTAGTTAGGAATTTAATTATGGAAGAACATAGAAAGAAAAGGACATGCAGGTGTACAATATATACTGAATACCTTAAGGGAAAGTTTTTTGTTGTTATCTGGCAGAAGAACTGTGCGTTCTGTTTTGAGTAAATGCATTACTTGCAAGAGATATTCTGCTGTACCTGTTGACCACATATCAGCCCCACCGCCAATAGAGCGAGTAAATGATTCAGCAGTATTTCAAGTAACGGGTATAGACCTTTGTGGTCCTTTATTGTTGGGAAACAAAGAAAAGGCATGGATTTGTGTTTTTACATGCGCCGTTTGAGCGGTCCATTTGGAATTGCTGACTTCTCTATCTACAGAAGTGTTTCTTCAGGCTTTTCATCGGTTCATGTCGCAAAGAGGTAAAGCCACAACTGTGTACAGTGATAATGGAACTAATTTTGTAGGAGCTTCAAATGCATTCAAATTAATAGATTTTGAACAAATAAATCGGCTTGCAAGAGTAAAGACACGAAATGGAATTTTGCTTAGAGCAGTTTGAACTCTGTATCCTTTAGAGGTAGCGCAAAATGATGTACCAGTGAAGCTGCAGAATGAAAAACAAGATTCGTTGTCTGAACTTAAACTCAACGTAGATGATAAATCTGTCAGGCCTGTAACACGATCTGGTAGAACTGTAACTCCGCCGGGCAGACTGGCATATTAAGGCTCTTTGGCATTGTTTTACTTTGAAAGTTCAATTTTTTTTTTTTTTTTTTTTCTTAGGTGGAAGGATGTTAAATATTTGCATAATCGCCTGTAGTAACGGCAACCGCCGGCAATAAAAGGAGGTGCTTTCCTTAGTCCTTAGTGGCACCGCAGTTCATTTTAATTCGAGCCAGAATAGACCTGCCCGGGGGAGAAGCCAGGGAATGAGAGATTCCGGTTCCCGTCTTGTTGCGGATCCAGTCCTGTTCCGGTTCCCGTCTTGTTACAGTCCTGTTCCGGTCCTTATCCAGTCCTATTCCAGTCCAATCTGGCCGTTTAAGTCCAAAACACGTAGGAGCGGAAGTCTGAATCCAGCGAATGGAGATATATGCCGAAAGGGCTAGATGGATTCTGTCTTTTAAAGGAAAGTGTTCTTCACCGTGCCTGCATAGCTGTTACTTTAAAGCACTTTGAATGTTTTCCACCCAAGATGTTAAGTTTTCGTTTATGATGTTAAGTTTTCATCAGTGTTGAGGTTCCAGTTAAATAAGCCTTTAAGTTTTAGACAAGGTTTTTGTGTTCTTCAGAAAATTTTAGATTTGGACTCAGATATATCACATAGGATTTAACGGAAAAATCAACAATCATAGAAAAATTAATACAATTTTGCCACTTCGTATGCAAATGAAGAAGAGATAATGAATGCCACAGTTTTTTACTTCCTTGTATGAAGTTAAAAGAAAGTATTGTAATCGCGAAAAATTTCAGGCAGCATACTTCAACGAAAATATTCATTTTGACCGCTTTCGAATGCAATTTAACGATGTTTTTGCGTGATATCTGTACGTAAGGACAGAATAAAACTCTTTTCCTCCAAAAAATTATAAAACTGCTTTAAAATGAATTCTGAAGAGAATTTTTTTTGGCGTCTGTACGAACGTATGTACCTACGTATCTCGCATAACTTAAAAACGAATAGCATCAGAACGTTGGAAATTTGTACATAGGACTACTATAACATGTAGATGTGCACCTCGTATTTTGGTTGCAATCGGCCGCACCAAACGTATATAAATATATTTATATATATATATCCACTCTGTTACCCGGCTCAGTGATCTCAGTTTCTTTACTCTTATATGTTTGTAAATTGTACATTTTTTGCTTTAAAAATGATTGAATTATGTTGTTTTTATCTTCCGGTTAAGGTTTTTATGCCTTTAGTAAATATGCCCACATAGCACAAAAACATCCTTGGGATATCCCGAGGATGTTGCTCGCGGGATATTCGCACATCCTCAGGACATCCCGGAATATCCCGCAAACCTCCTAAACACCTCCTCCCGAGTGCTTAATGTCACATCCCAGTACATCCTCAGGACATCCTAAGTCCCATCGACAGCGTACGGGATGTTATTAGGATATGAACTCCTACTTACTACATCCTCAGGACATCCCGGGATATCCCATTCACCTCCTAAACACATCCCATTATATCCTAAGAACATCCTATCTATGTCCCATCGACAGCGTATGGGATGTTATTAGGATCTCAACTCCTACTTACTACATCCTCAGGACATCCCACTAGCCTCCTAAACACATCCCATCATATCCTATCTAGGTCCCATAGACAGCGTATGGGATGTTATTAGGATTTAAAGTCCTACTTACTACATCCTCAGGACATTCTGGAATATTCTACTATCCTCCCTAATACATCACATCTAGATATTCTCTATCTTTTATTTTTAAAATATTGAAAATCTTTTGGTTACATTTAAACATCTACTAGCTCAAAATTAAATTCTCCAATATTCATTATTAAGTTACATATAATTTATATTTAACATGTAAATTATATATATAACTTATTCATAATTAAGTTATATATGTAATTTACATATTATATGTAATTTAATTTTGCTCTGAGGACTTAAATATTCCTGCTTATGATATTCCTAGGATATGTTTGAGATCACATCATAATGTTCTATAAGCTAGTAAATTTAACTCATTTAAATTTAAATTTTGGTTTATTTAATGATTCTTAAATAGGTCCGAAAATATGCAAGAAACTCAAAATGATGAGTCAGTGTAAAATGCTGCAGAAGATAATTTTACTCTTATTTTTTAAATTATTATTTAAATTTATTCATCTACTCATCATATTTTGCAGTCATCAATAATATAAATGTGTGGATGAACATTCACTCTGATTTGAATAACAATGTAAATTATGTAAATGTAATTAAATGACTTATGGCATTTATATCAAAATAGGGAACGGCTTTTAAGTGGCATAAATTACTTTGTTACATTTTGTACTTCAAATGCATCATTCAGATTTCCAAGAATTATTATTCAGCAACATAAAAGTTACTGATAACAGATACTGATTAAAATAATTTATAAAATAATATTACTGTTTAAATAATTATATTTTTCAAAACCTGTTAAATATGAAACTTTGAACTTCATGTTTAATCACCCCTCCATTTGAAAGATTATTGATAAAAAATTTTTCTATATTGGAAGTACACAAATTTCTAAATTTAGAGCACGTACCTTTAAATTGCTGTCTAAACGTCTCCTGTGCTGCACTTTCGCATGTTTGCTAGTATTATGATTTGTATTTTGAACACATATTCAAAGTAAATTTAATTAGAAATTCTGAAATTCTCTTTTCTAAGAGCTATATTTAGTAAATAAATTTCAGTAAGTATTTCAAATTAGTAAGTGTCTAAAATTAAAACTCTTTTTCACATGTGCACGTATTTAAGAAAATCATCGAAATGAAAGGACGGCACTACACGCAGAGAAAATATATCCTGAAATTCTTAAAAGTCCAAAATAAAGAATAAACAAAAACTTACAGTACTAACAGAAAGAAATTCAACTGATTTAAGTATATTTTATGGCCTTTGGTGTATACTGTAACTTAACCATGAGTAAATAAATGACCCTTGCAAACACTTTTATTGATATAAGAGGATTCGATTTCGTAGAAAATTAGTGTAAGAGACAAATAAATTTGATTTCTTAAACTGATTTTTTAATGAAATATTTTTTGATTTAAGCAATAAAGGTTTTGCTATAGCGCAATAAACAAGTCAAATCATTTGTCCTTATCTTTGTTCAAGTCATTTAAAAATAAAATTCCTATCCGTTTCTTCTTCCTGCATCAATAAATTTGAGACCTTATCATCAATGATGATTCTGTTGAAAGAATGTAAATACCCTTTGCATTATAACAATAGTTACGTAAATCAGAAATAATTTCAAATTCAATCCTTATTTAACAGATATTTGGTTTGAAAAAGCTCAACGCATTTCGAAAGCAATTTGTTTTTCTCACAAATTTCAATGAAGAGACTAAACTAAAACTTCTAAACAATGGACAACTTGTGCTTAAATTATGAATATTAAATTTTTGAGTGTAAAGCTTAGGTACCCTAAAGTTTATGTTTCTTAATACTCAACGGTGAAATATTGGGCAATTTTACATTTGAGTATTGAAGACATATTTTGAAATAAATTACAAAGTCTTATTTTTCAAATGAAATTTAACGTAATTTTATTTGTGTATCAATGGTTACATTCACAAGTTGAGAATAAAACTTCAAATTTATATTATTTTACACGTATTTGAGAAACTGAATCTATCTCTAAAAAAGTACAGTAAGAAATATAATACATGTTAAAAATTCACACTGCTTTTGTATGATAATAAGATTGAAAACCGTAAAATATTTTTAAAAATGTAACCACATATTGTAAGGTTATCTTTCTACAATTATTTTAGTATTATATTAGACACTTCAAAATATAATGTATAGCACATATGTGTACATAGCATATTGTTTTAAAAGAAAATACAAAAGTAAAGGTTTTTATTATATCAAGTTACATAAATACCAGTGGAGCTATTAAATAATTTCAGTAATAACTGTTGAACAAATATTTTACAAATATTTACATTTTATGACATTATAAAATTCTTCTCCTCGTAATTTTTTAAATTTTCTTTAAAATTCCGCTTAAGGATCATCATTTTATTTCTAAATATATTAAGAAAAGCAAGGGAATAAACATTAATTTAATAAAACAATTGATTACAATTTTTGTTTTAAAAAATTACACAGTTATGTTTAGCTTCTCAGCTCTTTTCAATTTTTCTTTAGCGTGACGTAGCCATGACTGCACTACTTGAATTATTTCAACATCAGTCGCATTTTTTGCATGGACTCGCACAGCATCTGAAATAATAACATTTGCAATTAACGCACATGAATCAACAATTTAATATGATATTAGATTTAAGGAAGCTGCTTCTGATACTAAAATGCAATTAACTATTATAATTTTAAAAGAGAGAGTAAAGAAAAAGAATTTAAAACTTTTTAACATATTTAGGCATATTTACAAAGATGAGTGATTGTGTTAAATAAAAAATTCATAAAAAAAACTTTTCTTTAAAAATTTTCTTTCCTAAGCGTTCTATTCTTTCTGCATGCCTTAAAGGAAAAAAGAAGAGGTAATCTTTTGTCATAAGGTATGAAATAGCTACCTTTGTTGCATATTTATTATTTTAAGCAAACACCGTGCTTAATAGCAAACAACAGAGTAAATAATTTGATCTGTTATATAGGATTAATCTAGGTGACGAAGGATTAATGTAATTGTAGACTTTCACTTTTTGCACAAATTATACAAGCGAAAACTGTTTTGGGACTCAAGCTCACATTTGGCATTCAGCTTGGACATGGCATGCAGTTCAAATCTAATGATGTAGTTGTGATGATGGTGGTAATATTAATGTAAATAGCAAAAACAATATTTTCTTTCAAAATTCAAGTCATTGTATGGCAAGGTGCCACAGTACATTCAGTAATATATGAATTCGATTCTAAAGAGGTTGGGAATTAGGTAAACCATATTATTTTACTTAATTTACTAACACCATTTTTGAAGAGAGGTTAACAAGATTATTCTACTCTTATCAAATTTTGGAAAAATAGCATACTTTATTTTGACAATCATTTTAATGTGTTGAAAAAGCGTTATAGTAAACCAAATTTTACTTTATTATTTTGTCATTTATTGTTAACTACAGCTTAAGATATTTATTATAAAAAATAATTTTTTAACAATAATATTTTATTGTAGTCGCCTAAGATAGTTATTATAAAACAAGAAAAATATATGATGGCTTTAAGGGCTTAAACTAGTGTAATTTCACAGGGTAATAATAATTTGCGTTTGTTGTTTTTAAATGGCTTAATTTATTAATCAGTAACAGTAATATAAAATTTGGAAGCAAAATCAAATATCTTATGCTTTACCCATGATTAATAAATAATACTTCGGCAAGTTGAAAATAAAAATATTTTATGTGGATGTTGACAAAGGATTTCTTGTTGAATTTGTTAGTTAAATTTTTAGTTGCTTTGCTTGTTTTTATTATTTATGTCTGCTATCAAAGTGTAGACATGTGAAATTTTAATTTTTTACTCACGAACTTATAGGACAGTTTTCACGAACTTATAGGACAGTTACTCTTTGAACTGATTATGATTCGAAAAAACAACATATTCGATAGTACATATTCGATAGTGATAGTGCCTCGTACCAGAAACGTTGAACCCTGGTTACTGCACCATTCGAATTCGATGTAAATTTGAAGGAAAAATAACTTACTCTTAGACGAAAGGCAAGACAGTCTTTTAAATCGCTGAATTTTCTTGTTAAATTTGAAATATAAATATTTTACGTTTTTCCGAATAACAGCGCAATGCTTTTAAATCGGCGAAAATGTTAATTAAAATCTCATTAAGTTCTCATAAAAATAGAAAATAAATAGGAAAAAAATTGGAAATTCAGAATTCTGGATTTTTTTTTGGGGGGGGAGGCACATATTCAGAGAAAGGAGCACGTTGGTTCAAAATCTGGCAGCTCCAGGTGCCATTGTTTGAACATACATAATATAGATTCTTCATTATTTAATAATAGAGATTATATGTGTATTTAAAGACTACTATTGGTACTGATTAACCTAAAACTTTCCGAAATAGCTTTAACTAATTGAGAAGATTAAATTCAAACTGATTCGAAAGAAACCATTGTGGGTTGAGATAAAAAGAATGCTTAATATTACCTTTAAGAATTTTGCTCAAAACCAGGTTAGAAAATTTCTTCTTCCCTTTTGCTCCAAACCAGCTATACTCATTGGCTACAGAATTCTTCATCAGGTAATTCAGTATATTCAAAATTATGTTCTTTACAGAGTTTCCTCCTCTTCTACTAAAATCCTTTAGCTAAAAAAAGTTCAAAATATAGAAAACTATGCAGATAGCTAAACTTCACATTTAACATAAAAGTGCCAAAATGAAATTTCGGATTAACTTGATATTTTGTTGTGTTTCTTTACTTTCAGAAAAGAACGTATACTGAAATACTTTGCATTACGCATATTGCTTATAATATATAAAATATTTTAGAAAATTTTGAATATTTAATGAAACAATGAAATTTAAAGAAATACTGCATATTTTTATTATAAATAATTTACAACTGCATATTATATTTTTTCGTAATTCTGAAGATTTTTCATTTGATAGGTATTTAAGAAGAAAAGAGAGACTACTCAAAAGCTAATAGATGATGGAGTAGCTGGGCATAACAATAATATTTCAATATGTTAATGGGGATTTATTAAATTTAGAAACTTTTTTCTATTTTGTTCTGCACTTTGTTTGGTACTTGATGGGCTGGGAATGTTAAATGCAGAAAATATAATTGAAAACAACTGAAACTATTTTTATTTATGTTTATAAAATATATTAACTATTAATACATAATTAGTTGTTCAAACAATGCATATTTATTAAATATAGTAACAATACTAATTCAGAAGTCAAACAACAAAAATCAGCGTTATATCTACAAAATTTTCACAGGACTAGTTTCGATGGTTTTACCGAACCATCATCTTCAGCTGCAAAACCGCAAATGAACAAGATAGGAAATAATGATTAGATAAGATAAGAAAGCCTGGACAAGAATAAGCAAGTGGCGCCATCTGTTGGCGAAACCAGAACTAAAACATAATTTCTCTAAAAGCCGAAGGCAAATTTGGATTGGAATTGGGATCGTTAACTAGAACAGAAAGATTTTTATGAATGTGAAATGCCTCTAGAAAATCCAGTTCTCCAATGGAAGATGTTTTTTGAATAATTTTGGCAGCAGAAAAATTGAAAGTGTGATTTTCGGACCAACAATGTTGAGCAACAGAAGACTTCTGTGTTTCCTTTTTTCTAACATATGCCTCATGTTCTTTGACGCGAAATTTTAAGGCTCTCTTAGTTTGGCCAATGTAAATAAAACCACACTGGCAAGGAATCCTATAAATACCCCAGGAATTCATATCCGGAATGGGGTCCTTGAGTATAGAAGTTGGAATTTTATTGATGGGAGAATAAACAACCCGAAAGTTAAATTTCTGCAAAATATGTGCAACTTTGTAGCTAATTGATGGAAAGAAGGGAATGACAACAGAATTTTTATAATCTCCTAAAATAAGAGTGTGGCTTTTAGTGTGTTGAGATGAGAATTTTTTAACTGCTTGATTAATAATGTTGGGTGAAAAGCCCCTGTCAATAGCTATTGCTTTTAAATAATTTAGTTCTTCATCAAGGGCTAATTTGGAGGAGCAAACTTGAAGAGCACGGAAAACATAGGAATAAAATGAAGCTAACTTTTGTTTAGTCGGATGACATGATTTAAAGTGTGGTGGAAGGCAAACCGATGAAAGTTTACGGTAAACTGTAGTACTGAAGTTGGATGTGTTACGTGTGACCAGAATGTCGAGAAACGGAAGAGAATTGCAAGTCTCAAGTTCAAAAGTGAACTGAATAGCAGGATCAATAGAATTCATTGTTGAAAGAACTTTATTTAAATCATCTTTAATACCTTCAAACAGGGTAAAAGTATCGCCTACGTAGCGGAACCATGCCGGGAAGTTTAAAGTTTCAAACAATTTTGATTCATAATAATGCATGTAGATATCAGCCAGGATGGGACTGAGGGGGCTTCCCATGGCTAATCCCTCAGTTTGTTTGTAATATTTATTTTGGAAAACAAAATGTGTTTGTTTCAAACAGAGTTGAGTGAGAGAAATTAGCTCCTCAATTTCGATGCAAGAGAAATGAAATTCGCGAAGTCTGGTTTCTAGACATCTTAATGCACCCTCCACTGGGACATTGGTGAATAATGATTTTACATCAAAAGAAACCATGAGTAAATTACTAGGAGAAATGTTTTTAACCTTTTTTACAAACTCTATTGAATTTTTTATGGTGTAAATGTTATTGTCTAATAGAGTGGAAAATCTAGAAACCAAATATTTAGCTAAAGGATACGAGGCAGTACCTAAATTTGATACAATAGGGCCGAAAGGAATACCGCTTTTATGAATTTTGGGAAGAGCATATAATCTGGCACAATTCGCAACAGATGGGATAAGCGAATGTTTTAAGTTGCTTGAAATGATTTGCGAAGATTTGATCGCAGTTTTTATTTTGGATGGATCTTTAGGGATCGGATTATATGGTCCTTCGTTTAAGAGTTTAGTGACACCATCGATGTAAGTGTTCTTATCCATAACGACTATCCGGCCGCCTTTGTCGGCCTTTGAAATGATAATATCCGGGTTAGAATGAATTTCGCGCATCGTAGCACTTTCTCTCGCAGTTAGATTTGGTTTCAAAGGTTTATTATTGAATTTCACATTATGAGCGATAAGATGCCTAATCATTTCTTTCTGTGAATCTGAAACTTTACTGAACTTGAAAGCTTTTTCGATAGGAGCCAAAATCTTTGGAATCGAGGGTTTACAGGTTTGTGAGAAGTTAAAATTATATTTTAGAATTCTCTCTGTTCTTCTGAAAGACTAACATTAGAAATATTAACTATTGGCTTGATGTTTACAATGGGAAGATTTTTTGAACTACTTGAACTGGAAGACTGTAAAAGAAGTTTTTCGAATTTAATTGCAAGGGTGTTTTTATGACGGTTAACTGCATTCTCCGTTCTAGACCAGGACTTTTGTTCAAGGGCAGTGAATTTTGGATATGATTTAGCGAGTTCCAGATGAAGGTTATAGAGTTCATGTTCAATTTTGGACAATTGTTGACGTGTATCCCTTATCACGGACCGAAGTAGTTTCACCCAACATTATTAATCAAGCAGTTAAAAAATTCTCATCTGAACACACTAAAAGCCACACTCTTTTTTTAGGAGATTATAAAAATTCTGTTGTCATTCCCTTCTTTCCATCAATTAGCTATAAAGTTGCACATATTTTGCAGAAATTTAACTTTCGGGTTGTTTATTCTCCCATCAATAAAATTCCAACTTCTATACTCAAGGACCCCATTCCGGATATGAATTCCTGGGGTATTTATAGGATTCCTTGCCAGTGTGGTTTAATTTACATTGGCCAAACTAAGAGAGCCTTAAAATTTCGCGTCAAAGAACATGAGGCATATGTTAGAAAAAAGGAAACACAGAAGTCTTCTGTTGCTCAACATTGTTGGTCCGAAAATCACACTTTCAATTTTTCTGCTGCCAATATTATTCAAAAAACATTTTCCATTGGAGAACTGGATTTTCTAGAGGCATTTCACATTCATAAAAATCTTTCTGTTCTAGTTAACGATCCCAATTCCAATCCAAATTTGCCTTCGGCTAGAGAAATTATGTTTTAGTTCTGGTTTCGCCAACAGATGGCGCCACTTGCTTATTCCTGTCCAGACTTTCTTATCTTATCTAATCATTATTTCCTATCTTGTTCATTTGCGGTTTTGCAGCTGAAGATGATGGTTCGGTAAAACCATCGAAACTAGTCCTGTGAAAATTTTGTAGGTATAACGCTGATTTTTGTTGTTTGACTTCTGAATTAGTATTTATTCGGCGTGTTATTGTGTCTTAATTATAGTAACAATAATCAATGAGGCCCAAGCACCCTAATTATACATTTATTTTGATATTAAAATAATTGATTTCATTTTCTTTTACCTATTGTCATTAAGAAAATATGAAACTATTGTATAAGTATACCACTGAAGAATGATATAATTTTATAATTAACTGCGAAATCGTTTTTCATAAGTAGCACATATTATTAACAATTTTGCGGGCACTAAGAAATACATACAGCCTACCAGCGGCCGAGCGATAAAGTCGCTGAACGCTGGTAGTTCGGTCCGAGGTTCGAATCCCGTGAACGGGCTGGCTGCATGGGCGTTTTCCTGGTTTTCCCCATGTGTAACGTGTATACGAGCCTGTTTCCCTTAGAAAGTCCTTCACGAAGGCATCCCTCCCCTTAGGCAGATAGCCATCGAGGCTTTGCCATTATTGAATAACCTAACCTAACCTAAGAAATACAAATTATTTTTAGTGGTAAATAATGTAAAACTGCTGCAACTTCCGTTATAGTGACTTCCAGTATCACTATTTTATTATTACACCTAGAAGAAAATGTAATGTTTTCCACTTAACATGTAAAATCCTGTCCTGGCAAACTTGGTAAGAAGAATGGAAAGAACCAAGATTCAGACCTCAGCAAATGTTGTCACTGTTCAAAATATGGTATCTTTAATTCGTATTTCGGTTGTACTCGCTCCTAGTCAATTATCACTGTTTAAAAGTGATAAATACAGTATTTTAATAATTTAAATCTTTATTCTGCTTCCATTTTAATAAAATCATAGACATAGTAATCCTATTGTGGGTGGAGTAGGAACATGCTTAGTTTTCAAGCACATTTTTCTAATAAAATAATTTTTTATCATTAACCCAAAGAGTGACAAAATGTAAGCTGATATCTGTCTAATTGGTTATATTGCATTCATACATATTATTAACAATATGCATAGCTGTTTCAAAGTTTTGAAATATTGAGTCTGAATAGGCAATAACTTATTTGATTTTATTTTCTTGATTTTTAACACTATTCTCATTTCTAATGTCTTGCATTATATCAAATTAAAAAAAAAAAAAAAAAGATTAATTTCAGCAAAAGCGAAAAGCAAAAGATTAATTACACTAAAATAAAAGATATTTCTTTTCTTTCTCCCACTCTCTCACTCTTTTTTTAACATATTATGGTAAACAATTTGACATTTACTTCGGTTATTTTTAAATTAAAATACTAGAATACACTTGGTGTACATTTGATCGCAATAAATTTCATTTTGAAAACTGTCCCTTATTCTTCTTTCGCCCACTTAAAACTTGTTTTAAAATTATTGCTTTTATTTTCCATTTAATTATTTATTGCAGAAAAATAAAGTAAATTTATCCATCAAACACGCCAAAGTAAAACATAAAAATTTAAAATCAACAACCCCTTGTGTTTCACGTGGCTTTAGTTATGAACTTTTTCGCAGATTTCTTTGCTCCTGATGAAGGACCTGTATTTGTTTGCCCTCGAAATCGACAGAGTTCTTGACTAAATCTACGCCAAACACAAGGCTGCTGTTAATTAAATGTATAGCATGTTTTCATAAATGTCAAAGAATTTTTTATATCCATTAGTAAGCATATTATTAAACAGTGCAAACTTCAAAGAAATTTTAAAAGCATATTTTTGAAGAAGTTTTATTACAAATAATAACTGAACATTAATTACAAACTTATTTCTTGTATTTATTTAAATGACTTTTAAAGATCAAAGTGGTCTGTTTTCTAATCTGTGTTAAAAGCAAAATATTATACTTTTTAAAATAATTTTCTGTTTATAATCATTTTCTGTTTCTTTATTATTTTATTTGCATTTTTTGGAGGGAAGGATGAAAAAATAAAACAATTTCTTCTATTATTATGTAAATAAATAAGGATATAAAACAGTTAGGCAGAGTTTGACTATATGACACACAGAGTGGAAAGAGGGGAATAAGGTAAAAATTATTGTGCATAAGGCATATTTTATACCATTGTGTACTATTGAAGCAAAATATCTCTTAGCATTGTTTCAGGTGCAGTCTCATAATAGTATATTATTAGTAGTGGTTATTATTGATTAAATAATACAATATGGACAGATATGTTGAAAGTTTTCAATTTCGCAAAATGTAGACTCTTATTAATTCTCTAAAATTAAATTTAATTTTGGAACATCCTTATAACAAGTTGAAAATAATATTTTAGCCTAAGAAAGCCATTAAATGCAATATCAGATAAATTATTCACTCTTAGATAAAAATTGCAATTCAAAGTAGAAAAAAATATGACTTACTAAGTGCATCTGCATATTAGTATTTATTTTCAGTGTTTCGTCAAACTTCTCAAGTTCATCAGATGATGAAAACGGAAAGTGTTGAGCTAAATCCAGATCGCCAGCTACATCAATAGCTGCTTGACTCTCATTAGCATGAGTGAGTTTCTCTATGATTAGATGTTGTGTTTCTGCAATAAGGCTGAGCTGAAGGCTTAGACGTGTCAGTTGTTTTTTAACTTGCATTTGAAAATCGTCTAGGAAGAGAGAAAAAAGAATTATAATGGGTATAATGGAGGGGAGAGATAGCGTACGATAATTTACCATTAAGCTTCTGCAATTTTTCTTAAAAAAAGTTTGTTATGAAGACGAACTTAAATTGTTTGCAAAAAGAAAATTATGTCTAAAAATGCATGCTTAATTCTTTCTATCTATCGCCTGAGAATATAAAATATTCAAAACAAAATATACTTAAAACTTATTTTGACTGATATTTTTAAAAACCTGTAGCTATAAATTTAACTTCGAAACACACATTTTACATCATACGCAAACTATTATATTTTACATATTTCAGTAATTTAAAAGAATTTTAAAAATGTGGATGCAGTAAAATACCTCTATTATTTTCTAATTTTGACACCTTTTGCAAAAATTTGCATTTTCATCAAAATGTTTAATGAATTTTATGCAACATATCTATATATAAATTTGAATATAGAAGTAAGAGTAGCTAAAGACGAGTCTTACCTCTGACAACATTTTGCTGTGTTTCCATCTCAATGTTTTCCATTCTGTCATCATTTTCTGAGTTCCTTTGCTCGGTGCAGTTCGATGATACACTCTTATTTTCAGAATGCTGAGGCTCCGAAGGGAATATTGGAAAATGTTGCAAGGCAACACATGCTTCATCATCTGAGGATTCTCCAAAATTTATTATTCTTTTATTTAGCTGTACCTCCTTAGCTGACTCACATCCGTCTTCTGTGCTAATGTCCGACGAAAATTCAGCTTTTTTGAGTTTTAAAAGTCCTTTCTTAAAAGAACTCGCACTTCCAAAAATCCTTTTTATCTTGTATGAGTTCCAGGATTTTTGTACAGGCTGGTGTTGCTGAACAGCTTTATGGAGGTCTTTCTCACATTTTGCTTGTGGCCAACTGCAGGTTAATGTTTCCCACTCAATCCAAGTAGATGAAACAAGTTGGAGACCATCTCTGAACTCCACGATAAAAAAACTTGGCATCTTAACACACACCTTCAAAAATACTATAAACCAAATAAGCTGAAGTTGCAAAGTATATTAATTGTGAAATGTTAATATAAAAACCTAATTTTATGTAATTTTCATTATTATAATATAAAATGCTTAAAACGTTATTTATAATGAAACATAACCTATATTAATAATGAAATCACAGGTGATGTAATATCACTTGTGATTTCATTATTAATATAAAATACAAAGGCTTAAAATGCGCAATACTTGTCAGGTTATAATATTTTTTTAATATTAATGAAATACTTCTAATGCAAATAATGCATTTTACCATGGTGCTGTACACAAAAGATTAATAAAAGAGAATATTTTGGTAATACTGAGATGAAAGCAGAATAATTAATTCAGAAATACAGTGCAATATAGTATATATACTTCCTTCTAGTATTTATGAAATATAAATGTTAGCATTATTAATAAATCCTACTTTTAATATTATGTAAAATATGTAATACGTAAATGTAATATTAAAAACATGTCAGCCAATATAGTTTTACAATTATTATGGCATATATTAACTATTCCTTCTAGATTTAATTATGAATTAAGGGAAACGTAACATATCCATCTTTGTATGGTAATAATACTAGCTTTTTCCAGAATAACTTGGCAGGCCATACTTTTAAAGAAGATTGGTTTCTTACATAAAATATGTTTAACAAAGATGAAAGACAAGGTGTTTCGAAAAATTCTTTTTTCTGCTTAAACTCTTTTCCAACTATCATCATGCAGTTTTCTGTCTTACTATATGAGAAATTATAAACACAAATAATAGTTTTTTGACTGTCTTTCAACATGCAATAACAATCAGCCTTCGTAGAAATCTTAAGTACAACATTTTCATGCTGCATAATTTTGTACTGTCTATTGAAATCACATTCTCCAAGTAGTGGACCAGATGTGTGTAAATTTTGAAATTCTGAAATTAATTCGGTTTGATTGAACAGTTCATGTGTTCGTCTTGCTATTTGATATAATGGAGCAGAAGATTTTCTAATGAATTTTTTTATAGAAAACATATAGCTTTCAAATTTAAAGGCACTGTAATTATCTAACGGTCCAAACATTTTTACATCTTCGCAAATATGCAGTAGGCCGTGAACATTATGAGAAATATATTGTTTTCCATAATAAAGCCCAAAATTTACTACGAAATGATTTAATATACACTGTGCGTATTCATGAATTGCCGTTTGATTTTGTATTTCGCATAAAAGTCTGATCGAAATATGAAGTAATAAAAAATGATCATATAGCTTTTTGTTTAAAATTTCTTTTAAAACAACAGGGCCGGTGTACAGTAAAAACTGACGATATTCTGTAGCTTTCCAATGTTTCAATTCTTTTAAGGTCCTCGGTTTTCTTGCAAATTCAATTGGAACATTCATTGGTCAAATTTTTTGAAATTAATTCAACGTTTTTATGCGGTAATCGTGCTTGTAAGCTGCCTCCGCCTATCCAAATAGTAATAATTTTTCGTACTACTCCTAAGCATACAAGATGCATAAAGTCTAACGGAATATTTGATATTAGTCCTATATTTGGGATATTCCTTAAAATAGGATAATCGTTGTGATAATCGTCATCAATAATTTCTTCTTGAGACATAAAAAAATCGGAATTTTGACGTAGTTCACCAACTGTTCCTGGAAAACATATCCTGTTATTAACATACTTGCCAACAATTTTGCACTTCGAACAACTTGAATATCCAGTATGGCCTTTAGTACACAAAATATATGATTTTGCTGGAGCGTCACATACAATATATTTAACAGATAATTTTATTTTATTTTGATTTCCGAAATTAATACCTTCTGTAGATAATTTCACAGTTTCGTCCGTAAATTCTTTTAAAAATTCGTTAGCTTTTGGTTTTGAGCTACCATAATATGCACCCACGATAAATACGTTTCTTGTAGAAATAATATTCACCAAAATCGGCCAGAGTGAATTATTATTTGATTTGAATATTGATAAGCCGTCGATATTTATTGCTATTTCTATACAAGATAACTGAGGCAAAATTTGAAGGTTATGCATTTTTTTAATTTGATTTTCTAAGCTGAAGTATACGTAGTCTCCATTCCCCATTCTTTTTATAGAGGAATTCCTAGGAGTGCCCAAGAGTGTACGCGCATCACTTGGTAAACTGTTAAAGCATTTATGATTTTTTAGAATTTTTAATAATGCACTCAAAGCATTCTGTTTGATTTGGAATTTTAAGCTCCACTCCATCAATTCCTGAAACGAGTTCTCACAAGTAGCGTGATTTGAAGCATCGTATGAAATATCTTTCATTTCCCTTTTCTGTTCGAATGAAACAGATTCAGTATCTGCCTTACTAACTTCAAAAGAAGCTTTATAGGTTGAAGTGCAACGCGTATGAGTTTCATATTCTGAATCACAGTTTGAACTGGAAATTTAAAAAATATTTGCTTGCGCGAGAATTCGACACAGACTTTTTTACATAATTAAATTCTACTTCATCTTCTGAAGAATCCGATAATACACGTTGATTTATTCTCCTATAAATCTGTCTTTTAGATATATATCAGATAATTTTTTTTTAGTTCTGATCATTTTTATAGAAGAAAGGAAAAACTTTGAAACTTACTCTTCGCACTCTGTGACGCTTCGTTCTGTGACGATTTCTTGTGAAGTCAGCTTTGGAACGACGACAATTAACATTAAGCACCACCAGAAAAGCTGAATTCTAGAAATCGTATAGTAAATACGTTTACTTTTTCCACTTAGTGCGATGCTACAAGGATACTATTACAGAGCAATTAACACCGTTGGGGGGCATCCTCCGTCGAAAATGGCTTCAGATTTCAGATGAGTTGCATGCCTGTGCTCTTTGTCGTGAAGGGAGGCTTTTCTTGTAGGGGTACAAAGAAAGGGAAATCTACTGCATAAATCAATGGACGTTAACAAAAGACAAATCTTCTTGGGGCATCGGCTACAGAAAAAGTGCTTAGAGGTGATACAATCTGAGCAGAGCTCAGTTCCTCAAAAGGGGTGCCGCAGTATTAAGAACATTGATAATAATGGAAACAAAGACTTGAGATTTTCAACTTCATTTGTTATTCACAGCATAAAATAAAATAATAAAATTGTTGAATTTAAAGAATGCGTTAATTTTTTTTTTTTTTTTTTAAATTTGAAGTTTGAACATCTATTTAATTCAAAATATAATTTTGAGTTTTTATAATAAGACTTAACTTTGTGTCTTTTATCTTGATGAAAAGTGTTTACTGCATTTTCTGGATGTTACAAATAAATTAATAAAGCAGAGCAATTATTGTTAAATTATGAGAAATCATGTAGCATTGTCGGCAGGTGTGCGGAAAAAATGTCACCCGGAAAAAAAGGAAACGGAAAGAATGTCCCCGGAAAATAAGGAACGGAAAAAATGTCACTAGGAAAATAAGGAAAGGAAAAAGAGGAACTCTAAAATCTCGCCAAATAATGTCGCCGATTGGAATTGGGGAAACCTGCCAAATTCTAATTTAACGGGCAGGGTTATAGCAGGCTCTCTTGAGGGAGGATTTAAGGGTAAGACGTTGAGCTGGTGCAGCTGAGCAAGGTCATGTCGATGGCAGGTTTATCAACTTGCCGCGGGAAAATCGTATGTTCCCCCGTTTCTTGCTTCATCCGTTTCCTTTAGGAAACCGACCCACGTCACCGGAAGGCAAAAATTACGGGGAGCAATGTTTCTCTCTGTTAAATACCAATAATGCCGTCCTTGAAACTAATTTCATCATCCATAACTGGAAGCTAACAGTTTGTTCACAGTAAAGTGTGATAAATGACGAATTGTCAGTAAAGACGCACGCGAAAGCTGCTTGTTGCAGACTAAATAGCTAATAATTTGATAAGCTGTAAAAATTTACAGAATTATTGGCGTAGTATAGTCTGTTATTTTTGATTACGGTTTAACGATCTAGCAATAATATTATATTATGCATTCTTTTTTAATCTACCGTAGGAAATTAATTTTCTAAACATTAACGGTTTATCAGTTAATTTATAAAGACGGTATTTTATAGTGTCATTTTTACACTTTAACGGTTTATCATTAGGTTTTTTTTTTTTTTTTTTTTTTTTTTTTTTTTTTTTAAAGTCCAAGAGACTTTGATCCTGGAGGACTATTCTTTTCGTTTTGCGATTTTGCGTTGAATCGCTAAACGGCGCGAATCACTTTTCAAACTGTTGCCAACAAATGTTAGAGTCCTGCATTATATTCGAAGAAATTAACTAATGAAAAATCTGCATAAATATATGCATATTTCCGCATTGTGATAAAACAACGTACATAGAGCCATCGAATTTGAATGACGTAATCCTCCTGCGAATATGGGCATCTGGAACCCAAATTTGAATTTGTTTTATTATCTATTTCATATTTGTAAAACTTAACGATTTTTGATTAACAAACTCAACGATTTAAAAGCGAGATGGCAACATACGAAAAAAAAAAAAATATCTCCAGCGCGCGGAAACTGGTATCGGAAATTCTTCTAAAGATATGCTCTTTTTTTAAATTTCTTTGCGACATGCTATTTAAATGAATTTTATGGTTTAAGTGCAAAGACATGATATTTAATAAATAAAGGTAGCACACAAAACGTTAAAAAAAAAGCCCCTTTGGACGTAGTTTAAAACCTGAAATTTAAGATTTTTTTTTTTTTTTTTAATATGAATGATGGTCTCTCCCGACTTCGATTGACCAGAAGCAGTTGTCACTTTATTATGCAGTCACCTAATAGGTGGGCACCTTCTCCTCCTCTGCGGGACGGACAATTAGAAACTATGCATTCCCCTGGATTCGAACCAAGCCGTAAGGTATCGCAATTGGCTCGCCCCAATCACTACACCGTCTGGGCGGCATTTATCATTAGTTAGTTTATAGAATATGATATTCTATACTAATTAATATAGTTAATTTAAAATAATTAGCTAAACGGCTTGGCGTTTCCCCCCTCCGCCCAAAT